TTTAAAATACTGCTTCACAGAAAAATGGAGCAGGGAGTCTATAATATATTTAAAGAGCATATATTTTTTCAAACCATGTCAATAGTAATGCTTCCATCCTCCTACCCCACTCACTTACTCCCAGTGGCCAGGCTGAGAAAGCATGGGGGCTCCCTGGGTCTTGCCACTGTCACAGTATATAGTGAGGTTTTTAATCAGCCAAAGCCACCTGGCAAGATAGGTTGCTAAATGAGATTGTATTTTTAGTCCAGTAACTTCAATGTATGAGAAGTGGAGATAAGGTAGAGTCATAAATGTTTTCTTTCTGTCCCCAAATTGCTCGATCAGGGTTTCTCCAGTGCATTCCTCATATCCATGAACTTGATGTGCATGGATATCTGCGCTCCAAAAAGTGTGTGTGGACCTCTCTAGGTCATTCAATGTTATTTTATGATATGCTTCCAGTACAGTCGAAATATAGATTTCACTATTCACAGTTTCAGGCTTCCATGTGGGCAGTGGTGTCTTGGAATGCATCCCCTTGGATATAGAGGTTGTACTGGCTTGCTGTTAATTTTCCGGGATGTATGACCATGTTCCAGAAGCACTCTCTCCTGACGTTTTGCCCACATTTATGACAGGCATCCTCAGAGGTTGTGAGGTCTGTTGGAAACTAGGCAAGTGAGGTTTATATATCTGTGGAAGGTCCAGGGTAGGAGAAAGAACTCTTATCTATTGGAGGCAAGTGTGAATGTTTATACTGTTTATAAGCCTCCATTATGATCAGCTGTAAGGATTTTTTTTTACAGAACTGCATTATGAATGAGAAATTATCACATACCCTCCAAGTGCCCCTATTTAGCAATGACAGCCCGAATTATTTTTCTGTTCTCCCACCTTTGCAGCTGCCTTTAAAATATCCCAATTTCTCTCCTTTTCTTTTACTTTCCCTATTGTCCTCAGCTTACTTTAGCTGGTGCAAACTGAGTTCAAAATGTAAAAGCCGTTTGCACTCTGTTAACTCAGAAATTTCCTTTCTTTGTTATGCCTTTTGGATAGCATATGTTGCTTAGTCAAGTTAGGTCTCTGTGTTGTTTTAAATGTACTATCTGCTTCACTTGGATGTTATTTGTAATAAGTTATTTTAGACAAGGAATGCCCAAGCCCCATCTTCATTGGCCATTCAGTTTAGTTCAAAGCTAGCTTTAAACTGCAGTGGCCCGACAACAAATTCTCACAAAACATGCAAAAGACAGTCCTTAATGTGCACCAGTAGCTTGTGTACTCACCATCTGGGCCTCAAACTGATTCCTATGCAATCATCTGCACAAGAAATTTGCTTCCTTCAATACCTATTTGAGACTGCATTCAATATTCAGTGTAGATGGGGCTTCAGAAGTGGTTTGGACAGTTCCTTCCTCTAAAATATAATCTATCGCACCTAGTATTCGTTGGTGATCTCCCATCCCATTCTGACTAGCATCTAAGATCAGACAAGAGCTGGTGTCTTTGGAGTACTTAGGCTGGGAAAAGTATACCTCTTGAATATCAGTATGGTTTGCAGTTGTTACAGACACAAAAACTTTGTGAGGAGAAAAAGCAAGAAAACACATCAATCTTGGGGAAAAACATCTTGTCCTGCTATTTGTAGTCCCCTGCATTACAGACAGAGAATCTAAAAAAACCCAAATCACTTGTTTTCTGCCTAAAATTCACATTGCTTCTCACTAGAACATTAATGTTGTCTCTGTGTATGTACTAATAAACCATTTTATAATTCCCACATTATTTGCATCATCAGGATATAATTGTCTTAATGTTGGGTTGTTGTAGGTTTTTGGGCTATATGGCCATGTTCTAGAAGCATTTTCTCCTGA